GGGAGGAGGGAGGAGGGAGGAAGGAGGGAGGAGTTACACAGTTTTTATTTTTTTATTTTTAAAAGGAAAATCTTTTCTTTTAATAATAACAATAATAATATTACTATTATTATTATCTCTTCGCTTCTTTTTGTCGAACACGTCATCGCAATAAAATGAACATCTCCCTAAGATAAAATTGACGTTCTGGACGTGACCGCGCAGTCCGTTTCTTCATTCAGAGTCGTTTGGGCCACTTTTTCGATCATCGACCCCAAAATGATAATTTGTATATTTTAAGCTCGCACGCGAAAACGTGGTGCAACGAGCGTTGTTTCCAAATGGAATCGACATTCCGGACTCACTCACGTGGTCCATTTCGTCGTCCGAGGTCATCTAGATAATTTCACCGACGAACGGGCCAATTTTAGTCAATTTCATGCGCGACGCGATAACTAATTTTCGTCGATCATAGGTGGACGCCCTACACCTATGACACCAAAAAAATTGATGCCAACATTCTCTTCAAATCATTTTTTGAACAATTTAAGTATTCAATATTTATCTTCTCTTCAACCCTGGATCTTCCACAATGCATGTCATTCTATCACACAACCAAGAAAGATGACATTGATCATATGATATTTTATGGACATTTAGTACCTAAATAATATTAAAATTGGTTGATCTTATGTATGGTGGATTTGTCTGGTGGGTTTGTCTAATTGAGATGCTTGATTTAACTATTAGCTTGTCAGATTTTGAATCTATTTCATTTTTCGATTGGACACCATAATCTTTCAAAAATAGTTTAATTGTTTGATCTAGGCTTTATTTGACTTTGATTGGGTCAATATTTGTGTTATTGTGTTTGTCTCGACAAGCTGATCAATTTGACTGTAAGTTTGTTGAAATTAGAGTTTCGTTTAATTTTTAATTGAAGCTTGAACGCTCATTGGTCAAAAAATCAGCTTGAGATTCGTTCCACTCCTCAAGAAACGTGTTGGATGACAAATTTTGTTGATGACCTTGTAGCAAGTTTGTTAGATTTATATTTAACTGCAGTGATGACAAGATTCTTCTGAAGACAACATAAGGGAAAAAAGCGGGAATAGAAAGTAAAACTACATGTGAATCTTATTGCTAATGTGAAAGATCAGACAAATCATCGTCTTAAATGGCCCTTTTATCCTCTATTTACGAGGGTTTTAGGCACTACAAAAAAGCTGCAACTTGACATGTATATGAATGTCCAATAGAGAAGTATGTGATAAAACCTTTATATATTTTTTAACTTAATTGTTAGAATTCTGATGATTTCGTGGGAACACCCCTACAGGAAAGTGATTGAGATTAGTCACAAGCTAGATTGATAAGGTCACAAAATTTTAAAAGGGGATGGCGATTTAATGAGGAAGTTGTTGATTTAATACAAGCATGAGCAATAGTTTCTATTAATTGGACCAGTGGTCCTCTAAATTAGAGTGAGCGTTCGAATGACTAGAGTTAGCGTCACTTCGAGTTTGAGCGAATGAACCTTGAGATTCGATTATAATTAGCTGCTGCACTTTGGCTTTCAACAAATACGCATCATATTTGTGTGATTAGTCCTGTGATATTGAGTGACTGATCCTCGATGATCCTTCTCTATCCCTTACAAGCGCATCATTATTTTTGAACTCCTTTGAATTTAAACGAAACTACGATAAAATAAGTCCCCTAAGAACCACCAATTTACATAATAATATAAACATTTTTACTAAAAAAACTATTAATGACTCACTCTTATTGAAAATGAAGTACACCCAACATCTGACATGCTCTCGCTGGAAATAAGAGACGCACAACAAGAAACATACCATTACAAAGCCCAAGTTTAACCATGCGTGGTAGTCAAACCATTTATCAAACCTAAGAAAATAAACACGCAAAAGCACATTCATACATTGCTTTTAAGCTCCACCGTCTCATACTTGAAACCTAATTTCTTCGTGTCAAGGCAATCCCTAACCTTCATCCTCACAATCTGCCGGTCCTCGTCATAAAAGTAGAAATACGCTTCGAACCAGTCAGCTTCACCGTTGTCTCCGCGATGGGCAACGCCCTTTGCCTCCCAGACCGACCACAGGCGGTCGACGTTGGCACAGCATGCCCCAAAGTCCCAGGTACGCCAGGCATAGAAGAAGCTTCCCATGGGATCAACGTTGGAGTCGGCCGGCTCCTCGATCCGGACATGAGCAGGCCAGTGTGGGATTTGCCCAATGGATCCACCGCCAGGGTAATTGGTTTCCTCCCCTTCCCCGTTCGACGAGCCCATGAAGAGCCCCGCGCTCTTTCCAATCAATGTCATAGATCGGTGCATGTATTTGAGGTTGTCTTCCATGCGTTCGGTGAAGCTCGGGTTCGAGTCGTGGCCCAAATCGTGGATTGCCGGCTTCTGCTTTTGGTTGTTCGGGTCGTGGTCCTTGTTGTAGAAATCAGGCACCACCTTTCTTTCGGGGTCGTCCATGCTCCAGAAGGGAATTGAGAACTCATCGTCACCGATGAGCTTGCTGAGGATGCGCTCATAAAAGTAGAGGTAGCAGCGGTGCCAGGGGAAGAAGAACCGTGAGTTGGGCCCCTGTATGTGTGTGAACAGTGAAGGAGGGAGATCAGTACAGTGTCGTTCAAATTATGTTATTTATTATTTAATTATGTTTAACTCTTATATAGGATTTAATTGGACTTCCTATTATTATGCTCACTAAAATCTCATAACATTTTATTAAATATTAAAATTTTAACGCATGCCCCCTTCAATTTTTTCAAATAACAACATATTAATCTGACAACCTTTTTCAGAAGTACTATTATGAATATTTGATTTAAGAATTTCATGTATATTTTAAATAAAAATTTATTATTTTATGTTGGCTAATTTAATCCGTATTTTCACTTTTTCAATTTATTAAAAATTGTCCGATCTCAAAATAATCTGCCTCGATTGAGCACTCAGACAAGACTTTTCGCACCGGAGCACACAAATAAAGACTTTTCCCACTTACTCAAAGAGATGACTTTTCTCTTCTAACAACAACTAATACAAAATACTAAAATATCATGTACTACACCTTTTAAAACAAGCACTCTATTCATTGAGCATGATGTATCACATTTAAATTAAACAAAAATAAAGATAAATGCCTTGCAAGTTTAGAATACTAACATGGTAGAAATTCAACCAGTAATTCTATTTTTCTCGTATGTATTAAACCACTAATTACAGGGAAAAAATTAGATAAGGCTGTCTTGATAAAATTTTAATTGGAATAGACTCCATAGTTTTCTAGTTAATTTTGAAATAGATAAAATATATACTCAATTAATTAGAATTTGAAATTTCTATTTCACAGCTCAAAATCAATTAATTCTGAACATATTTTTAAATAAAACTCAATCCAGAACACTACCTGCAAGTCAAGTTTGGGAAGGCCGACTTGGTGGTAAGCGCTGTCGCGGTAGGCATGGTAAAGGTCCATCTGCCGCGTGAAGCTGCGGGGGTCGTCGGCCGGAAGAGCTTTCATAAGCTCTATGCCTTCTTCGAACTTCTTCAGGTGCTCCGCGTCGACGTTGTGGGCGGCTCGGCGGACGCGAAGCGGTCCCTTGCGGGGTGGCGGGATGAAGTCGATAATAGTTGGAGTTCCGCCATCCGGAATCTCCGTAAGGCCGCGTTCAGAGAGGTCGGGTGCTTGTGCGGCAGAGGCGAACGCCGAGCGGGCAGCAGCGGTGAGGCTTTCCATGGAGGCTATCGGAGCTTAATTATGGATGGATGCCTTCCTGGTTGGATGTGACGAAGATTTGCTGCGTATTTGTAATGTTGGCTATAAATAGGAGGTTCTTCTCCCATGTAGGAGACAGAGGCCATTTGGGATTTCCAACCATTTAGAGTTTGTTTACCTCTTCACTTGTACAAATTCTTTCAATTTATACAATGTGTCTGATAGCCCGGGAAAATACCCCCTCATTACCCTGCTGGGGACAATCGTTGCATCACTCTTTTCACTCTCATTCTCCCTCTCTCTCTCAATAAGTGTTATCTATGTTTAAGTTAGACTATTGATTGGGGGCAGAGAATAATATTACTCAAATAACTCAAATAACATGATATTTAATGTCATGATATTTAATGTATGGTATAATGAAATTAAATTCTAAATTATTTTGGTTAATATCAATTAATTTTACTTCTAATCATCATACAGTATGTAAACATCATATAATTAATCTATAAAGTAACTTTGGTTGATTATTATATCTCATTTTATTAATAAATATAGCACAAATTTATTTGAAATTGAGCCTAATTAAATAGTAAAATATACTTCTTACAATACAACCTATTTTATTTATTTTTTATATATTTAATTTTTCATTATTTCAATCACACATATAATGTTTTTTTTTGTTAACAACTTTTACATCTAAAATACATAAAATTACAAGACTCAAAGAAAAATTAAGCACATATTTTAATAATGAGGCTCATGCCTTGAACGCTTCTCTTCTAACTTTAAATTGGTTAAATTGTGCTCTAAGCCAAGTTAATTTATCCATTATCTAACTCAAACACTTTATTTGTAGGTTTGTTTGAGTTATGTATTTACTTCAAAGTTAAATTTCCATATTATTAAATCTTGTTTTCCCTATGTAGTCATAATTTTATTTTTTTAAAATTGGTTAAATTGTGCTCTTCTAACTTCATTATTATTAAATCTAGTTTTCCATATTATTAAATCTTGTTTTCCCTATGTAGGAATGCTTCTCTTCTAACTTCAAAGTTAAATTGGTTAAATTGTGCTCTAAGGTTCAATCAATTTATATATTGATCTATATGTAGTCATAATTTTATGTTCCACTGAATGGCATAAATATTTATCTTGTATCAGATATATATAATATGTTAATTGCCATATTTTTATTTAAAA